TATAATAATTCTGGGTGAAACCAACATTTACCTAGGCATAGTATTAATATATCCCGGAGGGAAGACACACAAGAGGGAATGGTTGCCATTCAGTATGGGCTTTTTTCAGTCTGTGTAACTCTCTCAAGTGTAAGTCAACTTATGTTCTAAATGTAAACTACTTTTAGACAAAGTTACGTTGATTTACACAGTCTGAAGACCTGATCCAGCATCCTAAGCAGTATTTCTGGGAAGAATAGCAGATAGCCAGAACATGCAATGGTAATTCTCCAAACTTACAGAATTGCTTTTATTAGAGAGTTAAAAAAATATCTTTTTGGATATGGTGGAGTGGATCTAACTCTGCAGGATTACGCTGAGACATAGACATTGTAGGACTTGGTTATTATGTGTTTCACATTATATTTATGACACTACAGTGTGAAGTATTGCTATGGGTGTGTAAGCACCATCATTGTAACCTCTCTCTTCTGTGTCTCGTGAGATGGTGTTGGTGTCTTGTACCTTTGCAACCCCATGGGAATACTTACTGTGTGTGGTGATTGAAAGGGTCATTTCTTAAGCCTTGGGCCCATTTGATTAGACTGCAATTGGGAACTACTGAAAAATATTTTAAGTTGTATTATGTTGCGTTCCTGCCAATATATCCTGTGGCTGTTTCTATCAGACCAAGCTTGTGCTTTTCATTTGCTATGTTTGTGTAGAGCCAGGGTAGAGGAACACCACACAGAAAACTGGCACCATTTTATCAGAGGTAAATGCCTGTGCTGGACACAGGGGGATCAACTCCAATCTAACCAAGTTTAACTCATATCCTAAAATGCACAGCCAGGCTTACCTCAGCTAAAATGAGAGAAATAGCTGTCCAAAGCTAGTTTCCTTCACGCCCCAGTGCCATGGCAGTAATTGCACAAAGACCTTTTTATTATAAGTTGATTTTCCTGAGAAATGGATTCAAAAAAATACTGTAAAGTGTTTATTTTTTGCTTGACCTTTATTAACCTAAATCTTAGGGCTTTCCCAAGAGAAGAGTTGTTGGTAAATTAACCCTCATAGACACACACAGTAGCATTTCTGCACTGCATCAATGGTTATGAAAGTAATGGGGATATGACAAGAAAATTTGGCACTATTTAAACAATGTCATAGGTCAACATATGGGATTTGACCAAAAAAGCTTTTTAGGAATTAAATGAAAAAAAAATTGCTTGAAGTGTACTTTAACTTTTTAATAGTATTTAAAGCCACCAATTTATGGTAGGATGAGGGCAAAATTTTTTTCTGCCTAAAACCTCAGTTGCTGGCTTTGATACGTAAACCATTATGTATTTGCTTAAGTACTAATCAGAAAAAAAGCGTAATCAAACCCTTGGGTACTTCTGGAGTTAAGGAATGATGGATAAAACCTCTGTGATCCTAGCCACTGTCTCTGAAACACATGCAGCATAAATTTAAGGAACAGGGAAATTAATGTGGGTTTACCAGACACAATTCTATCGCATGTCCCATTTTCTAGATGTTGAATACAAATGCTGGGTATAGGGTGAAGAATTTTTTGCTTTTGACTGCTTGTGCTTTTCAATAAATTTATTAAGGTCAAATTAAATTTGATATAGTAGGTTTTATTCTGAAACGGTGTCTGAATACAGCTTCATAATTACTCAGCTACATGATAGTGCATAAAGCTATAAAACTGCTTAGACAGACAAGCAATTTACATGTTATAGTGAGGTGTGTATGGCAAAGGATGTTAGTTTAATTGGAAGCCAAGATGTTAGAGCCTTAAATCTTGAGAGCTAGGGTGTTGACTAGAAAACTGTTTAATACGGTGGTGAGATTTTGAAATAACATACCTGAGTTGTTGGTACATATATGCACAATACAATGTTGTAAGATCTCAGAATTAAAATTACCCTTAAGGATGCTGTAATTCCAACATCAAAGTAGCTACTGCAGTGTTAGGTTACTTCTAAAATGCTTGTCACTTCTGTCTGTGACCAAAGATGAGACAACTTGTGGAAAATTAATTGAAATACACACCTCTTTTCTTTTTTAAAGAGCCTTTGGTATGCTAGAAAGTTTTTGTACCTTTTTACCTTGTGCCAGGACAGAGAATATTAATTTAAGAGAAAACCAGCAACCAACCAAACAAAAAACCAGCAAAAAAACAGACAACCAGGAAGAATTAGGAAAACGTGCAGTTCACTGAGACTGTTACACCTTTGACACTGCGGGAAAACAATGTTAGTGAGGGCTTTGATGTGATAATGTGAATTTGGCAGGGATTACATTAAGGCGAAGGTTCTGTGGGACTGTGAACACAAGAACACTATCAGTGCTGGAGAAATACCTGTCAAGACAAATTTGTGCTGTTTCTGATCAGAGGCTCTCTTCTGTTTAGCAGGTTCAGGGTCACATGCCTCCGCTCATGATCCCAATTTTTCCACACGACCAGCGGACACTGGCAGCGGCTGCTGCAGCCCAGCAGGGATTTCTCTTCCCCCCAGGAATAACCTACAAGCCAGGTAAGCTGACAGGGACGTGAAAATATTTAACATTTTAAGATACTAACTGTAGCTTCTTGTGTGATCCATCTCATGCAGATGATGTGACACAACAGGCGTAGCTGATTGAAAATAATGTAGAGTTTTGCAAGTCCACTTGAAAAAAAGATTTTGGTTTGCCGAGGGTGGATAGAGTATTGGTTATTGAACATCATCATTTTTTTTTTTACCTTTATTTCCCACAAAATCATTTACTCTAAATATATTGGCCCACTCGACTAGTAATTTGCATCTGGTGTGCCCTGTGTTGTTACACAAAAGCTACGTATCTTTAATTAATTCTGTTATACTTGTCTTTTGTGCCAAAATTGTTACTTAATTAGTGACAAAAGTCAGAGGAAGTATAATTTAATTAGCAGGCTTCAAATGGGCAATTTTTTGTTTGATTTCAATCTGAATAATAGAAGATTTTGGTAGTTCAATCCAAGTCATCATTCAGACTTTTCACAGGTCACATAACCTTGCAGTAAAATATGTTTTGAGATGATTTAGCAAATGTTACGATTTCTTTCTTTTTTCCTCTGAGTTTACAGGACTCCTGGGGAATTCAATTAGGGATATAATGGTTTGAAGCTACTTTCAGAGCCTCCTTGTAAACAGGGCTTTAAATGTTTAAAGACACGTTGCCAAAGGAATTCAATGTAGGAAGATAGTTAAGTAAATAAAAGTCAACCTTATTTTCATTTGTACATTCTTTGCAAGTGACCTCAGTCCAGAAGCAGCAACCTTATTTTGCTCATTAATAGTATTCCCTGTCAAGCTGCCTTTAGCATATTAACCTGATAACTAATGATTACAAAACATAAATACCAGTTTCTTTTTTTGACATTAAATATGAAATGTACAAAGTAAAGCCTTGATCCCACTCCCACTGATGTTGGTGTTTTTGCTGTTGACTGCAGCAGGAACAGGGTCAAATCCAAAGTAAAGCTTCATAATAGATGATGTAAACAGCATACTAATTAAAAGCTAGATTGAACCTAAAATCTTTTCTAGCAAGTTTATTTAATATTAGATGAAGTGAGGCCAAGCAGGATTTCAGCAAGTATTTCCGTTTGTCTCACTCCCTTCTGTTTCTTCAGTCTAGAGACATTCCTCTTTAAACACAGAATCTTTGTCTAGTTATTATCTTATTTTCAGGTTTAAAAATCCCAAAGTTCTCTTCCAGTTTGACAAACCAGAACACTGTACGCAGGAACCAGTTAATGGAGCTCTGAAGGGAAGCTGGCTCTGGATAGCACAGGATGGTGGTTATTCACACACATCACCACCTTGGGAGAGTGAGGGACCAAAGTGAAGCATATTTTGTCTCCAAAGACATAAAGTTGCCAATTGTGGAAATCGTCCACAAGACCTGGCAAATACCTTACTTCTCACAGGCAAGAGAAAGCATCTGCTCAGTTTCCTTACTTTTCCCATTTTAATCTGAGATGTTTTTTGAATAGCGACTATTAATGATTAATCTGTTGGCTGTGTTTCCCCCTGAAAGGTGATATGTCAAATCATGTCATGTTGATTTTGGCTCTGTAGGCTACTTGGTACTATAATGACTCAGAAGGAAGAGTACCAGCATGATCGGTCCCCGTGTGTTGCCTGATCTAGTTGAGAGGCGTCCCCGCCCATGGCAGGGAGGTTGGATTAGATGATCTCTAAGGTCCCTTCCAGCCTAGGCCAGTCTATGGTTCTATGATTTCCTGCTCACAAACAGATTTCTGCACTTAGTCCAAAGTGTTCCTTACAGTACCTGTCCTAATACTTTGTTGAGCTTATACTGCTTTACCTGTGGTCTTACTGACCTCATAGCAGAAGGTGCTACAGCTTTAGGGCATTTTTTTACTTGCCAGAATGCATAAAGTGAGATCTATCACAAACATTAAAAGAATGAAGTGCACCAGAAATCAAGGCCTAGATATCTTAGAACAGGGCTAAGGTCTTTGCTCGTATCTTTGTGGATTACATCCAGCCGATGCTAGCAAAGAACGGAAGTCACAATGATCCGTTTATACCCAGTGGCTTGCAAGAAATTAGAGTATTTATATTTTAATTTATTTATTAAATTCTACAGCGTGTGTGGCAAAGGTAGCTGGGCAGTTTAGTAGTTGGAGAGAAATCATGATTAAAAAACCACTGTAACTATAGTTGGTATTGATTAATTCCTATTTTTGGCACTCCTGGCACAGTAGTTAAGGAATTAATGAAACTGGAGATTAAGCTAGACTCTTTCATAGAGAGGGTTCTTCAAAGTCATTTCTGAGGAATATTTATGAACTTGACTGCTACTACCTGTACTCTTCCACTTCTGTGAGAAATGAAACTTTCCCCTCTAGAACTGTCAGTTCAGACAAGCTCATACTTCTGAGGAAAGATAGGAGACAGATTAACCCTTCAGATACCATTTTGTTTTTGGTTGCCTGTTTAGTTTGTATTTCATCGTGCTCTAGTTTGATGTAGGCAAGACTGAGTTTTGACACCACCACTTTTCCTTGGCCTTCAGACACTACAGTGAGAAGAATTTCAATAATAGGAGCTGGAGGGGGGGAACTTGAGTACTTTTGAAAAGCACTCTGTTATTTAGGGGATGTCTTATGTGCACAGTCTCTTAATTTGCATTGCCCACAAAATGGGCTAGGTATAATCCAACTCCGGCTTGGGAACAGTGTATTAGATGACAAGTCCCGCCTTGGTGCACAAGTGGGATGTGATTACGTGCCCATGTCTGTGCAGATGGGCTTCATGGGCTAAGTGGGAACCAGTATCACACCTATTTAGTTCAAAGCCAAGACAGCAGTTACCAAATACTGTTTCAAATGTGCACATAAACTCTGTGCCTTGAAGTAAGAAAATGGTATTCCTGTAACAGACTTCCCTAGGTCATGCCCTCAGTGGAAGGACCTAGAGAAGAGAGGAGAGTTTGATAGGTTCTGAGGCCCTTCCAGCACACGCCTTAGTTGCTCCTGAACTCCTGAGCTCAGCAAGTGATTATGAATAGAAAACTCAAGGGATTGCTGTTATATAGCTATGATTTATATTAAAGCCTGATAGGGCAGAGTTTCCCACTGCCTGGCAGGACCTATAGCATGAGGTGGCTGCAACCCTCCTCCCATATTTTGGAGCTCTAGGAGGTAAAACAGGCCAAAGTTAGCAAGTGCTGATGACAAGTAATAATTACATTAGAAAAAAAATCCCCAAAGTCCCATGCTTCCTTATGTATCTCAAAGTCATGTAATATAATTTTCCGGCATGGTAAGTACTAATTGAGAAATCAGAGCTGCATAGACCACCTAATTAATTTTTTATACATATTTCAGAATTTATACTGTATACCGGATTAATTAAAACTTTAGGGCGCTGTGCATCTCAAATGACTGTTGTGACTATTGACCTGCAGGCGCTTGACGAGCCTCGTAGAGTACCTGGTTGTGGGGGTTGCCACTTACTCCAGTGGGAAGCTGAGAGTGGCAGCTGTTAGGAAGCTAATACTTGCCCAGAGATGCTACGCAGTTAATATAATTATTTTGCATTCCAAGTACAGCAAAGCAACTACACTGGCTTTCTGACTGTGACCACTATGCTTACTACTTGGAACTGGTGGGTAACATAAGTACCATTATACCTCCTCTCCCAGTGCAAATTTCCCCTCACTTAACCAACCACATGCATCCAGGAAAAGTTAGTGGGCTGGAGTCTCCTTGACTGTGATTAGCGTGTCCCCGTTAGTGCTTTGGCTCAAGAGGAGAAGACAGTGAGTGAGATAAGGAAGAAGACAGTTCCCTCTTCCATCTTGCAGTGCCTGAAGTATTACTTCCTTCAAGTTTTGTGGCTAAGAGAGAAAAGGGAAGTACAATGACAACAGAGTAAAGATGTAAAGTAACTCTGGACAGGAGCCAGACCATACTTTGAGCAGAGCTCAAACGGAGCTACTGTTTGCTCTGCACAGAGAGCGGGAGGGCTGCTCTCCACGCTGGCTGCATAACGACAGTCCACGTGACTTGGAAATAAAAAATCACTTTTGCTTGATAGTCTTCTGCAAGTATTTTGTATTGTATCAGTTCTTTACCAGACATGGAAGATATCTGTGAAAAAGATTATTGTAAACAGAGACATTGAGGTATGGAGAATGTAAACCTCTATTTAAAGTATTTGTGGAGTGATATGCTGCAATGTATTCTCAAAGCATTTCTTCATTTTTCATATGTAAAGTATATAAAGACTGTGATTAGAACGGCTAAGAAGCAACTCGTGTCTGCCTACCTGGGTCATTCTTTACACACAAAAATAACTTAGAAGAGATTTTGCTATGCTGGCAGTACAATGAAATGTGAAACTAGAGACTGTTTTACTAGGCTGGTGGCAAAAAAAAAGTGAGAAAAAGAGCCAACATTTTGTCTTGGTTCTTTTCCTACTTGCATTGGGGCAAATCAACAGTAAGTCCTCTGAAATCAATGAAAGTAAAATCAGGTAAAGCACAAACAAAACTCTGAGGCTTATTGTCATCCATCCAGATCTCAGAACATTCTAATACGGTGAGATATTTTTCATCAAACTGATTAAACTCCTTGATTACAGTGGCTAATCCATATAACTAACATCACCTTACATCTGCTGACTTCACTGATATCCATCATTGCAGTTTCCATTTGGAAAAAGCCTTTCAGAAGATTTTCCTAAAGCTGTAAGGTGGTTTAAATTTTACACGGCATAGCACTCTATTTTCAGTAGACTGCAGGTGAGAAGAGAAAGCGTACATCAAATCAGCGGTGTACTAAGTTGTCTGCGTATGTTTGCATGGCAGAGGTGCTGCATGAGTCTTACTTCTGATGGAAATTCCCCAGGACTGAGTTAAAGTCTGTCACGTGTTTCCTGTTGGGTTTTACTGATTGGAACAAGGAATTTGTAACCTCAGGATTTGTTAGTAGCAATCCATATGTGCCTCACTCCTAAACGCTGAGGTAAGAGCTGGAAGTGGTAGTAGGCAGCGGAATATTTTCAACTGGGATTTTGTACTGAAATTCTTTACCTGCATGCAGACAGCTGTCGGGGCAACTGGTTGATTTTACCACGATGTGAGGAAGGCAGTAAGGCAGTGTTGCAGCAAACCCTGCTCAGAATAAAGGCAGAACTGAGTGTCATCAGACAAGGGAGATGCTCAGAAGTGTTGCCTTAGCCAGTTATCTCTATTAACATCTTCCTTAATCCTGATGCCTCTGCAGAAAGAGAAGGCATGACTTGTGTGGGAATATTGCATCTGTATCCTTGCAGTATCCCGACACACCTTGAGGAGAGGGATGCTTTCCTCTGTCTGTTCATTCTGCCGGGAGGGCAGGACCCTGGCATTTGTGATGTCTTGCATCCCTTCCAACTCCATTGCCTGTTCTACTGTGAATACACACAGAGGGTGTGCAGGTGACAGTTTGAGATCCATGTGTGAAGAGACGGATTTTAAGTCACAATCCCAAAATGGGGAAACCATCATCAAACTGACAAAGCTTTGTAAGTCAGAGGAGAGTCAGCCTGGGTCTTACAACTGTGTTTTAAGAAGTATGGGTGATAAAGCGACACCTTCCTCCTAACCTGAATGTCACAAGAGCCAGACATCCTTCTTTCCTCAGAGCTCGCACAGCCTTGGTCTGGAAAGTAAATCCGTACGTCCTATAAAGTCCACTAAGCTTCATCCAAGACAAAAAGAGACATTTACATTATTTCCACGCAGAATAGCTTGGTACAATTGCTCACTGCTTTAATTCATTTGGAAATGTTGCTCACCCTGACAAATGAAACAGAAGTCTGGCAAACTTCTCCATGCCTTGTAAACACCAATTTATATATAAACAACAGCAGCCAAATGTAAATAGACAATCAGTGCAGCAAGGAGATTGAAGAGATCAGTTTGCAAAACATGACAGATTTTTCTTCTTCCAGCATTCTTCTCACTCCTGGTTATCAAAGGCCAGCACACACCGGTACCTAAAGCAGACCTGTTTGAACATGTTCTGCTGCCTTTTGTACAAATTTTAAAGAAAGGATCCTCACGCAAGCATTCCAAACCAAGAAACAAATTTGAAAAAAATTGCTACAATACATTGACTGATTTCTTGCCAAGACAGCTACCGAGAAGCTTCTCGACCCATTCTTGCACTGAGAAAATGAGAGGGGGAAATATGTGCCTTCTGTAATTTAAAATTAAATCCAGCCCATTTTCTGCATGTTCAGTTTCCTCAAGGGAGGAAGAGTACCTTTGCTCTGCTTTTATTGCTTGGTGTCAGCAAAGTACTCCAGAACTGAGAGTATTAATGTTTGTTTTCAGCACAAAGATACTGCTCACATACCAGCACTTAACCATAATTTAACATGTTAAAATGAGGGAGAAAAAAGAAAGTATTATGTTTTAATAACAAATAAATGGCATAACTATAAAATTATTCTTCCTATAACAAAAGAAAGAACTGTAGCCAGCAGGTGAGCAGTAGAACACTACAGGGTGTGGTAGAGATACTATTAAATTAACTGTGAAGCCAAAAATTCTGTGTGTGTGTGTGTGTATAAAATATCTGGCTATTTCAAACCATAGGAGCATGACAGCTGTGAAAAAGGAGTGCCGCAGGGAATTCTTTTAGAGTTTGATTTTTTTTAAAATATGTTTGACATGGAAAATGTTTTAGTACAAATAAAGCAACTGGTATTGAACTTAAAAAGTGTGTGTGGAGGGGGAGGGAGAAAGTGGAGATTGCTGTGTGGAACAGGAATGAATAATTCATGATATTTAAAGAAAGAATGCCTCCAAAATGTTCTGCAAGGCAGTCCATGCTGATAACTCGGATGGTTATTTTCCCCCCCATTTAAAGCATCATTAATTCAACATCTTTGTAATTTTTTTAAAACCTTGTAAGATATTTCTGAAAGAAACATTATTTAACTTAGATTAGGATCTTATTTATTCAGATAATTTCATATAAATATCGAAGAGATGAGTAGAATTATTTAACCATAAAGAGACAGCTTTAGTACTTTAAGAAAAAGATCTAGAGGGTTTTTGCTGCTTTTTTTTGTTTTTTTTTTTGGTTTTTGTTTTTTTTTTTTTTAGGGAGAGAAACCAAACATCATTGCAAAGTAAAATCAGCCTCATGGAAGGGGGAAAATAAGAGGAGATATTTTGAACATTACTCCATAGGACACCAGTACAATATAGTGTTAGTGAATGCATTGTAGCAGAGCTCCATATGCAATCAGAATCCAATTGTTACTGGACTGTGTACAAGCACATACTGTGCTCAATGGTCTGATGAGGTATTATGGATATGATGCAAAGAGACCTTGTGGATTAGACATGTACAATTTATTAAAAAAGTGAAACAACTGAGCATTTAAACTGAGCTGAAAACAGTAGTGCTTCAGGTGGTAAAAAGGGAGAGTTATGCGGAATCCAGTGACTACAGAGACTTCAGCTATCATTATTTATTAGACGAAATTGGGGGGAAAAAATCTTAACTCTTTGAATGTCCTGATTATTTTTAGTTTCTGTATTTTGCCACATTGCTGCATTCTGCTTCCAGCGTGGAAAAGTTCATGTTAAACAGACTTATTATTGTAAATCTCAAAAATGTACAGAGGAGGAGCCTGTTAAAATGTAGCCTACAGATAGTACATAGCAGTGACTTTAAATAAGGGAATTCAGCCAAAGTGGTATTCCATTCAATCATAGTTACTGTGTAATTTATCCAGCACTGCATTAATTTTTACATTACATTTACACTGCTCCGTTATTTCACCATTCCTTCATTCTTTGCATTGATTAAGGGTCCCAATGACACTGAGCAATGCATGGATGCAGTGACTTAGATGAGGGAACATATAGATGCTGTAAGGTACAATATTGCAATGCTTATTTTGGATCAATACTATTGCTTATTTTCTGGAGTATTTGTTGTCCCCTAAATGCAGAAGGCATATGTTTTCAGTTTCTAGCGAACAGAATGCAGACATTTTTAGTGCCTGAATTTTCATGTAACTGAACAACTACCTAATCTATAGCTTTGGTAGGCTCCCAGATCTAAAAGAAAGTAAAAGTTATATTTTGAGCTATTTTAAAAATGGATTTAGTTTTTCTTTTCTCTATGACTACCTTAAAGGAGTTGTCCTAAGGCAGAGAACCTCAAAGCAAAACAAGAAACAACCTCAACCTGCATTGTGCCAGCTGGGTAGCTTTCCCCAGAAAGAGCCACTTGATACTGAAAAGAAATCGTCCTGCATTGAACAGAGCTGAAATTTCTTGGGTTATAAGAAATTTCTTCTGTTTTAAGAAACATGTGGTGACAATGATTTTTCTTCCTCCAGGACCCACTGGGCTTTCCCGGGATGTCTTGTCTGTGTGTCTACGGCCTTAAGGCCCACTTAGTGCCCAAACTTACACGCTTGATTTGAACATTTGCTTTTGGAAATGAAAATCACGAGTATCACATTTATGTTTTGCCAGTTTGCCTACTAGCTATCTGCTAACAAAAAAGTTCCAAGGGAGCATAGCAAGTCCATGCCCAGCGAAGCCTTTTGTTTTTGCAGATGTTTAGGCTTAGAGGAGTGCTGTGGAGCACAGGCAATCCTCGGCCCGTGTTTGCACTTGTCTGCTGCTATTCTCTGCTCATTGTCTGAACCTGCACGCATTGTTCTCCCGACAGGTGATAACTACCCTGTGCAGTTCATTCCATCAACAATGGCAGCTGCTGCTGCTTCTGGACTCAGCCCTTTACAGCTCCAGGTATGTGCCAGAACAAAAAAATGTGGGATCGAAGCCAACATTTTAGGGGAAAACTGCTAACCAGCTGTATGCTAAATAATAGTCTGAATGTTAAATAATTTTTGAGCACAGCCCAGGAGGATTAACACCTTATGTACTTACGGTACTGCAAATAGAGCAACGTGCGGCCAGCCTTGATACTCTGAGTGAAAGACATTGTTCTGAATGTTTTGTATAGGCAGAGCTAATGGTATTTTTTTAATTATATGACCAGTTGATGGGAGATAAATTCAAAGATCTTTTTGTACTTTATTTTCATTTAGTCTTTCCCCTGTAGCTGCAATGCACTACCTGTAACTGGAGCAGTGAGTATATCAAACAAATGTGTATTATTGTGGGTTTTTTTCCAGACAGAGTGGTGCTGACAATACAATAAATTGCAAACTCGTTTAGCTTCTGTATTTAGGTAATGTCAAGTTTTCTGTGCATTAAGCTGGTCAGATGCCAAGCACAGTCAAGAGCCTTAGGTTTGGACATTTATTAATTTTTGGCGTATATAGAATGAAATGTTGTGGAAGAAAGATTTATGTGCTGTATTATTAGCTAGCTTTTTGTGGCAAGAACTTTTTAATTTCACAAGAAAAGACACAACAATGTCATAAATAATGAAGAAACAGCCAAAAGCTTTCAGAGTTAAAATGTGTGGAAAGGAAGTGACTGAACATGAGAGGAAAGGCCATTAAAGATGCATGTTACTATTTGCAAGTAAACCTTTGAAACCCCTGTTTGAGTTAGGGAAGAGTTGGGTTCGGATGCGAAGTAGGAAGAAATTGTGCCTGGAGTAGCAAAGTACTGCCATGTTAATTTTCGAATATCTACTTTGCTTACCCTTCTGCAATTGTATCATTTTCCAGAGGGACCAAAACAAACTGAAAATTCATCTTTACCCAATGCTGATATTCGTCTTGCCATGTTAACGTAGGATAAGTGAGAATGAGACTAGAGCTCATTGTTCAGTGACGGTCCAGAACTGGCAAAAAAGAGCCCTCGGGCTTACGTCTGACCTAACCTAATATCAAAACTTGAAAAGAGAACACCCTGACACTGCAGAGAAAGGTCTCTGAAAAATATTTTTGGGTCATGATAGTATTATATTAAGGTTGTACCTTGGACAGGCTTCAAAACAAAGGGAAGGTTTTTTAAAAGGGAAAAATAGCAGATATCCTTTGAAATTCTATATTTGAATACTTAGAAGCAAAACTCTTAATAGTTTTGGTTGAGAAAATACTTCAGAAATGAGCTTTGTAAATAGACAATTTTTGCTATCTTTGAAATGTTCAACTACAAAAGAAACAGGATCTAGACCACAGACATTCCTGATTCTTTTCTTTTACAAGACCCATTTGTAGCTTGACGCACAGATCTATTTGCACATCAGAACCTACAGCAACAGTGCAATTTCATTAATTTTCAGAAATGGTAGACAGAGCTGTTAAACATGATAAGCACAATTAGAGAGAAAATAACCAGCAAAGAAAGTGATACTAATAAATATGTGGGTGCTTGCCTGTCAGATATATTTGTCGTACAAAAGTTTTATTTGCTTGTTGCCCCTCTTTCTATTTTATTTGAATTTCACCTTTTAGAATTTTAAAACCTTCAGTGTTTCATGGTCATAAGAGCTTAAGTAATAGAGTACTTGACAATCAGATGAGCAGGTATAAACTGAAGTTGGCTGAAATAAATTTTATTTACTCCTACTGTTAATATTCTCTTTGTGTAAATTCCCTGTGTTCCCTAAATGAACACGTATTTGGGTGTGTTTGTTGGAGGGAAGTTGTTGTTATACATGATGCGTCATGAAGCCTGTTAGGGGTGTAGCATTTCAGCTCCATTTTCCATCTTTGCTTCCCTTCCCCCTCCCTTCTCTTTTTTGTTTTCTTTCTTCCATGCACCCCACCCACTTATTTATTTACTTGAATGCTGTGACCGTAGTATCTGAGTATTTCCCAAGTATTTAAAAATATTGATCACAAAACTTATCTCTGTTCCTTTCAGCCAGTGGGAGAAATAGCTAATTCATGTGCAGGTTTGGTTTTGTTTCTACATGTGAGCATGTGTGTAATATCTATGTTTGGAGAACTTGGCGGGGAGGGAAAGCTATTTCAATTAAAAAGGCTCTGCAGTAGCTCTGACATTTCAACTTTACCAGGGCATTGTTATTAGTTCCAAAATTATATTCCATAATCCATATCCAGCTGCAGTGCAAATTTGGTCAGCTTCAAGCTTGTAATATGGCCTCTTTTTCACTTACATTTTTTTGGGGAAGATCATGCTTCAGGTAGGAGCAATTTTGTGTTCTCGTCTTTATGTGTGTTAGGACAATTTCTATGGAAGCTCTGAATCTCAATTTATTCCCAGATACATCATATAATGATAGAAGTTCTTCCACAGAGGATGTTTCTCTGGTGGGCAATTTGTAATTAATGATTTGCCCATCTTATTCAAAATTGGTATCAAAATTGATATCTCAATTGTATGCCTGTGTTCACCAGTGAGTTAAAAAACTTTATTGAAATCATATCTAGGAATTTCTCAAGTAACTAGTTGCAGTCTCATGGGTCTTGCATTAGAAAAAATAATTAAAAAATAATAATTGATTTCTCCTTCAGACCTGTTTGACCCATCTACTCTTAAGATTTTGCATCACATGAATCAGCTACTGGTAAAATATCATTAATATTCAGTTGTAGCTTTGAGTGTCCTGAAAGAAGGTAGTAATTACCACGGTGGTGTGTGAACCAGTTCTGATGCATGTGTGTCTAACAGAAGCGTGTTGCTTTAATTAATCAGTGCGAGCGGTAAAACCTGTCAATAATTTTCCCTTTGCTCCTCTTTTTTACACCCACGTTCTCTGGAGTTTCTGTCCTTTCCCATTTTCTTGATTTTTTCCTCCTCGTTCTCATATGATTGCACTGATATTAACTGATTCTAGATATTTGTGTCCAATAATCTCGCTGAATGAGTGAACTTGGTCATGAAATGGTTTTTCCCAGCTCTTGTGGTGCTGGTAGCACTAACCTAGATGCTAGGAAATCTCAGTGGTGGCAGAAGTGGCACCTGTACATCCTTACTTTTGAACAAGGAATGTAACTATGTGCTCTTTATTGTTTCAAAAAACTCTGCCTTCATTCTTAGGTATTTCTACAAAGCAGTCTGTGCAGTAAGTAAGGAAATGTTGCAACCTTCTCAACCACGAGTGGTAAACTGTTGATAGAAATGGAAGCACTACAATGATGCTGGCTGGAGTTGTTCCTAAACAAAGTGAGCTCTAGGAAAAAAAAGCAAAACAAAAAAGTTTTCGTTCATAACTCTGTCCCCAAACTATTTGTGTAATTTGTCCTTCAAAATTTATCGCTTATAACTCTAATGAACCTTGGCAAGTCTTAACTATAGTTGCAGCTGTGTTCTTGAAGCTCGAAGTTTTTATAATCCATTTAAAAAAAAGAATTAACTAAACACATATTCATCCATTTCTTCTCTCCCCTCCCATCCCATCCTACTGCTCCCTACTCTCTTCTAATTGCAGACAAAGTAAATGACCTTTTTTTATACTGCTGGGTGCAGATCCAGTGCGCTGCTGAAGCATTGCATAGCGTGCCTCAGGGGCACAATATTAGTAGAGGAAAAGCCAAAGAATGCTATTTTTAGTTGAACAGTTCAGCAGATGGAGGCATGAATACTCATATATCTGAAGGTTGAGGGGTTTGAACCATTAATTTTGATAATGTATTTAACCCTGGGAACAATCAGAAACTGTAACTCTAAGGTTACAATGCTTTTGACCTTTAGAGAACAGAGGGCACTCGGTACAGTAAACAATATATTACATTTCTACTTATTCCAATTCTCTCACACATATAAATTTCAGGACATAGTTGACATTTGCTTTCCTCAGCTATTTTAGTGCTGGTCCTTAAAGTAAGTCAAGAAGAATGTGCAGGAAAGAGGCCAATGTAATGCGACAGTCATGTAAATATGGCCTTTAAATAGCTAAGATGTTAAATGTGTCCTCTTATCAAGAAATATTATTCTCGGGAACCAGAGTCTTGGTGACTTATTACTTCAGTGAAAAAGTTGTTTTAGTGGACTGTTGCTCTTACGGAGTTTCCTCTGTATGTTGTAACCTTAAAGCAATTTCTTAGTGAGACTAATATGATCTGATAGTGATAGCTTACACTGGAGGTGATTTGGTCCCACTCTGGTACCACATCATGCAAAGTGATGTACCTGCCTTATGTCTTATTAAATGATGCATGCTCCTCTTCAACAAATATAGCAGTTAAATATCACACAGCTTAAGTATTTCTAATTAAAATATCTCCATGTGTCAGCATATTGGTAATGTATTATTTTAATCCATTTATTTTGTTTATGAAACAGTGACATATGTTTAGATTGTGAAATATATGAGCCTTAAAAATCACTTTATTGAAGAAAATTAATTTCTACAATGCTGTCTCAGTAATGTGTTCACTCACCCAGTCAGTCACTGGCAGGGCTGCCAGTCTTAATGTTGGTTAGACACAGTTTAACAGTTTTATCTGACATAACACTCTCGGATGTAGGCGATAATAATTTTTTCAAATGCAAAAACCATGGGGTTTTCTTTTTTTTTTCCCCCCCTTTTTTTCTTAACACAACAAAGAATGGGGATTGGGTAAACGTGAAAGAGATTTGGTGAGACCAATCAAAATTAAAAATAGCTAGTTACCTTTTCAAAGTTAGACACTGTAATTTGTTTGTCAGCAGGTAGATGTTTGGGTCAGCACTGTGAGTGAGTGACTGTCAGCGGGAATTCCTACAAGACAAGTAATTTCCCTCAATGTATTACTGACAGATTGCTCACTTCTTCGATTCACTAGAGAAAACAAACTTAATATTGTTACAGGCAGAGTTTCTGTCTTCATTAGCCTTATAGAATGATTTTATCTAGCATTCAAAGACTACTGAGCTCTAGG